CTGCCATGGGATGAAGAATGATGGAAGAATGACTCCGTAGGAAAGAAAATCCTGTTGTTCAAAATGTTACCCAGACAAATGTCTATGAAATGCTTTTGCAGAGCTCCTGTGGTAGTGGACTGGCTGGAGATGGTAGAACAGATGTGAATTTTAGGTTCTTTGGCATCTCTTGTTTATGCTTAGCATCCCTGTTTCTCCCAGAGACCAAAGTATGCTGTGGCTTCACAGAAAAGTCCCTGAGATGCAGTGAGCACTGAAAGAAAATGTCAAGGTCTTGAGGTTTGAATGATGAAACAGAGCACCTCTGAGTTGTGAAAGAAACTGGCATGGTTCAGTAATGCCCTGTGTCATTTGGAGGAAGGTGATGTGGGTTTACTGTAGTACACAGCAGGTATTTTTTTTGAGCTGAGAGCTATGTGGTACTGTGGTGATTGATGTATCTGTGTTACCAACTAAGTGATTTGGTTTCATTTCTAAACAGCTTGTTACCTGAAATCAGACCTGCTGAGCTCTGCAGTTTCTCCTTCTGCAGCTGATTTATTAGTAGCCAGGTATGTTGGGGTTGAGTAGAGTTGCAAATGCCTTAGTATTTCAGGAATGGGAAGCATGAAATGAGCCCATCTTACTACAAAGACAAGTGCTTTGAAGATACTAGGACTTCCTTCTGTCCAGAAACAGTCGTACTGTCATACTGGACTTCATAGCTTTGTGAGTCCTTTGCAAAGTAGGATTTCAGTGACTTAAGTCAATACTAGTGCTTGTATCATGGAAAAAGAAGAGCTTTTTCAATCTAACTTTAAAGGTGGTGGTGGTACAGGGGGCTGTTACGAAAAATGAAGCTTCATTTTACTTGCTTATTTCCTTTCTCTGATGTTTGTCTAGATCATTAGTTCCTTCTGCTTCATCAACTTTAGCATCAGTGGCTCCATCCTTATCTGAACCAGAAGTGGGAAGTGACAAAGAGACCGTTGAACAGCCAGAAGCAGCCAGCACCCAGGGAGCTCCACAAGTGTTTAGAAAGGCCCCTGGGAAAATACCCAAATGGCTGAAACTTCCAGGTATCAATGAATCATAGGAGAGCTCTGCTCCTTCTGAACTGCCCCAAAAGGCAGTTTCTCTGCCAAATGGGTTGGATATTGACAGTATTGTTGCAGATGTCAGCCTGTGCTTGCAGGACATTTGGTTCACTGCTTGTCAGTCACAAATTTATTGGTGACTTGAACCTCAGCCTTCACTGGAGAAGTATATGAATGCAGATTCTGAACATTGGGAAGTCTGATACCTAATCCATTGCACTTGAAATAGTTTTCTTTTCCAAGATTATTTGGATAAAGTACAGAATATCATGCCACCTACCTGTGCAGGTTTCCCATTTAATAGTTGTTATGAAAGGTTAATAATGTGCTGTAAGTTGTTTGTTAATAACATGAAGGATGAAGTTCCCTGCTCCAAAAGTTGTGATGCGTTTGCCATTTCATCTCCCCAAGTGCTCTCTTGTGGTCCCCAATGCTGCCTGAACACAGCAGTGACCAGAACCCTCAGCCACCAGACTGTTTTACTTAGAAATGAGTAAGTTATAATTACATGTTAAGTGTTTTAATGGTGCTGTGTTTATTTTGTAGGTGGAAAAAGATGAAGCATCCTGGGCTGCTGGATCACTGAGTTGTCAGCTGTGCCCTCTTCTCCATGAACTTACTCAGAACATGTAAAAGGTGTTAGCGGCCCTGGAGAGATCTAATCTATATGAACATTAGTTGTAAAAAGAGAATGGCTATTTCAGATACCAGTTGCAGCTGGTGGAGGAGTGGAGGGCCTGTTTGTGGTCTTTGTGACTACAGAAGCAAGGTTAGAGGTTAAATTTAAGGTTTCTTGCATGCAAATAATAAGAATAGAGAATTAAGGGGGACATGATTCCTATATACTTTCTGCAAAGGACTTTGTTTCTATCCATATTTTTAAATTCAAATCCTCTCAGTTCCACCTTCACAGATCACTTGAGTCTAGCCTGTATTCTAGTAGCAAGATACAATCTGGTTCAGCTTTACCTATAATTGTTAAGTGATGCCCAGAACAAGGCTTCTCTCTGCCTCTTAGTGATTAGGGTTAGTGCTGCTGATAATTCTGGATATGGACGGCTGGAAAATGAATGAAGAGGAAGCACTTAAGTTACTTAAACCAGTTCAGATCAGTGAACTCTCTTGTGAAGCACTCGGGCTGCTGCACTCTTGTGTTCAGTTGCCAGAGTCTTGTTAACAAGGAATACAGGTGTCTGTTCGTGGAATGCCTGTTGAGCTTGTGTCTGCCCTAGGCTCTAGTTTTATTTTCACTGTGTATAATTACCATCAGTAATTGCTTACAGCAAGGGAGAAAACATACAGTTGAAGGGTCTCTTCAAATGACAGTTGATTGGTGGCCTGAGCGTTCCCAGAGCAGGGTAGCTGTGCTCTGCACTGCAGTTGGTGCACAGGGAAAAGGCCCAGTCCTGTCTCCTGCAGATGTTGTGGGGGAATGAATATTGGTTAGAATTGCCCTTACACTGGAGATGAACTCTGTTGTGCCATGGCAGTCATGGTGCTGGGTTTTATTTGAAGTCTTCTCCGTGGATCAGTGATCTGTGGAGAGCTGGGGTTCCATGGTACAGTAATACCATGTTTTCCATTTTCCTTGTTTCCTCCCTGCACTACATGTGCATCTGCACAATTTGTAGATGTAATAAAGCAGAGTGGCCACGGGGGCCCTTTTGGTCAGTGCCTTTAATAGCTTCTTGCCCTGGCACTTGGTGTGTCTGTCAGTTCACAGGAACCTGCTCTTTTCAATTGGCCTGTCATGCCTTGTTCCCTTCCTCCCGTTTTTTTTTCCAACAAAGCAAAACGGAGCTTTGTCCCATCTGAATGAACTTCAAAGTGGCTAGAAAGGGCACCCTGGGCTCCTGGCACTTGTCATTGTCTCCCTGCCTGGCCAACATTTCCCTTCAGGTCTAATTATTTCCAAATGCTCACAGATGCTTTGAAGAAACTTGGAGGGAGGGGGAGGCATGAAAGAAAGGTGGAAGAGGAAGAAGGAGACTCAAAGCAGAAGGAGAGCAGAATGCTTCAGCAAAAAAATGGATTGATTCCTTATATGACACCCAGACGTGAACAGGGAACGTGAGAGCACTGTGTGCAGCTCCTGTACTCAACCCTCCCTGTGGAAAGAAGCCCTTCTGCCACTGGATAGGCTATAAAAGACATACCACAGCAAACAAAAAAACCAGTCAAATAATGTTTAAAGTTTATTACTCTGAAGTGGATTGAGTGTGGGCTGAGCCCACACTGCACAGGACTGTTGGTCTTGGTTCAGGTGCTGTATCAGGCTTATTCATGTCACACAGATCAGAGGTAGATGGTAGCTAGAGCTGCCTTGCTGAATTTGTACAGGATATCCTGTGGGGAAACCAGGAGCTGTTGCTAATGATAGGTGGTGAAATACTTGTGCTGGTGTTTTGGTTTCCAGGATTAGAATATGCAGAAGCAGTGTGCTTCAGATGTGCTAGTCCTTATTTTTTGAAGAGCACAGGTGACATCAAATATTATAATCTGCTTAACTGATTTTCTTAGCTGCTCTAATTATGTCAGTTTTTGTAAAGGTTAGGACCATAACTATCCCCTGCAAGTACCTGACATGGAAAAACAAGTTTAGGGATACAAGCAGCAATATCAGTATTCCTGGGGTAGTTTCATGGCTTAAGTGTAAGGGCTTTACATTGCTGTGTTCCCTCAGGCAGTTCTGCCCATGCTTGCTTGTCCCTTGTGTAACTCAGCTGTGCATCAAACCCAGTTAAACCACAATAACGAAAAATTGCTACCTTCAATAGATACACAAGAGGTCTTATTCCCCTTCCCTATACAAAAAGTTACTTTTAGCTGCTGTTATTTAATTGCTGCTTTACTGTGGATGTCCACATCAGCAGTTCTCTCTGTGTGTCAGGGAAGGGAACTTGAGCCTTTTCAGGGCAGCAACTTTGGGAGTGCTGTTTCAGTTGGTGTCAGGGCAGAGGCAGAGACAAGGACCTGAAATCTGGAAAAGGCAAGGAAGTAGGAGTGAATTCTTTAAGGGAGACGGGGCACCCCCACATTTACAATGCTGAGCTCTTCACTAAGGTACTTGCTACAAGGATTCCTGCCGTGCTGAAGAGCAGTACCTGCAGATACCTGATGAACTGATTTTGTTTCAGTATCACTTCTGCAATAGTAGCTGAACTCATCCCTGTGGTTTTAGGGCATTCAAAGGTAGTATCATCTGCTGGGGGTTTTTTTTGCTATTGCCTTTTTTTTACCAATGCTTGAAGACTGAACTAGGTCAGTTCCTTCATTGCATGTGTTGTACAGCTGAACAGTTGTCTCGGCTGAGGGCTGGGGACTGCTTAAGCTGGTACTGTCCCCAGAATGTGTACTGGAACTGCAGTTTTTGTGAGGTTTCCAAGAGGTTGGTGTCCTGAGGGATGACCCTGATAGCTCCTAGCTCAAAGTACACAGTGACCCACTGAGCCTCTGCTGTCACGGCTGTTCCTGAGCAAAGGACTGCTGGCTCTGCCTGCTCCTGCAGCCAGCCCTGCACCTCCCGGCAAAGCCAGTTGGGCTTGGTGGGTCCTGCCCACATGTGTAAGGTTTCTTATTTCACAGTGGCCCCCCCGCTGCCAGAGGGGCCAGGCTGTCCCGTGATGTGGGATTCTCACACATGCTGTTTGTTATTTTGTCCTTTTTTCCTTTCGTCCTACAAAGATTTAGGGAAGAGGGTGGGTGAGGGGGAAGCTCTGCAAGTCTTTGAAGCAACTTGACTTTTGATGATGAATTGCAGCAAAGAGCCTACACAAGGAAGGGAGACTTGTTTTTAACTTACTGACGTTTCTTTGTGAGAACAAATTTATAGCAGAGGGGGAGCAGCCTTTGAGGAGAATATTGAATGGTTAAAAGGTTTCAAACTCTCTTTGATGTCACAGCCCGAGAAATACTGGAAGGTAGTGAGGGACAGACACTGTTTATTTATAAAATAAAGATCAGTTACCTGCTTTTGGCAAGAGCCTGTGACTAAGCTCCTGTTAATGACCTATTCAGTACGAAGGCTTGGAGCTGCACCTGGAGTTGCTGTTACAGCTTCCTGCTTGAGGCAAGGAGAGCCTGAAGGCTGGATGGTATTTCCAGCCATTAAGTCTTTCCATGCATCTCTGTGAAGCAGCACCTCTTTCTCACATTAGCTGAGAAAGCAACAGCTTCTTACCATGTTGTGAAATACAGGCCTCTGTTACAGGAGTAAGGCAGCAAGATAGAAACCAGTTATGTACTCAGTTGAACAAAATAAGCCTGTGACACCCTCTTCTCAAAAATAGCATCATTGTACTCCATCGTTGCTTTGGGCTGTGTTGTGCTTACTAAGGGGGAGAGGAAACAGAAGCAAAACGGCAGAGGAAGAAAAAGTTGAGACCGTTAGCCTCAGAGACACACTGGGACAGAGACACGTGTCAGGACTGTCTGCTGACAGGCGACATGTGCTTCAGGAGCCTCTAGAAATCCAGAAGCTGCAAGGAAAGAGCAATAAGCAAATCAGGACAGAGGTTGGGTTCTCAAAACAGCTCCCGAAAGCATGAGGATTAGCTGTTCAGCCCATATCCCCATTCTGCTCCCATGCAGTTCAGGCCCACAGTTACCTACCAGCTGTGGCAATACTTTCTCCACCTGTTCAGTATCCACCTTCTTCAGGTCCTCTGCCTGAGCCTGCCGCGCTGCCCGTGCCGCTGCTTCTGCAGCCCAAGGGCAAGAAAGGGAAGAGCAGTGAGAGGGGCTGGAGCTGTCACCGGGGGCTCCGGGCTGCTGTCCGGGAGGCGGCCCGGCGCCCCGGAGGAGCGCGGCACGCTGGGCCAGGCCCGCAGCCGTGCCGGACGGGAGCGGCCGAAGGGGGGCCGGGTGCTCGGGGAGGAGCCGGAGCCATCGCTCCAAGGCTGGCGGGATGGCCCTGCGCGCTCACCTCGGACGAACACCTTCAGCAGCTCGCCCACCAGCAGCTGCGCCTCGGCGTTAACTGCAAGGACAAGGCGGTCAGGGGAGGCGGGACGGGGCCCGCGCCGCCCGTCGCCGCCTCGGTACCTCGGGTTCTGCCATCCCGGAAATTCAGGCGAAGAAGCCGATCCACGGTGTGCTGTGCGGAGAGAGGAAAGGGTGAGCGGGGCCGGGGCCGCGCCCGCCGCCCGGGGCAGCGCCCGGAGCCGTCGCACCTTCCTGAAGTCGCCGGCGCCGCCGCCCCGCTCCTCCATGTCCCGCGCGCGGCCGGGCCCGCCTCCCGGGGACGCGCGCGGTCGGCGAGCGGTTCCGGGGGAGCGCGCGCGGGCGGGGAGCGGTTCCGGGGGCGCGCGCGGCCATGGAGCGGTTCGGGCGCGAGTACGCGCGGCTGTGCGCGGCGGCGGGCGCGGCCCCGCAGGAGGCCGTGCTGCGGGGCCTGCGGGAGCCCGGCGGGCCGCGGGGCCGCCTGGACCTGGCGGCGCAGAGTCTGTCGCTGCCCACGTGCAGCGCGCTGGGCCGGCTGCTGCCCGGAGCTGCGCCCTTCGCCGCGCTGGCGCTCGGCGACTGCGGCTTGAGCGAGGAAGGTGCGCGCTGCCCGCGGCGGGGTCGCTCTCCCTCAGGGGCCGAGGCCTCTCGTGTTTGAGGCGAAGGTGCCCGGTCCGTGGCCGTGCGGGGTCAGGCACCCCTCGGTTCTCCCCCGGCGGAGGGCAGCTGTGCCGCTGTGGGCCGGGCCGGACGGGACGGTCCGGATGGTTAGAGCCCGGCCGTGCCCGCAGAGCCTCTCTAGACGTGGGGCTTTTTCAGGGCTGAGTCAGGTGGATGTACGAGGTGACAGGTAGTTCTCTGCCCGGACACCTTTATGAGGACATATAAACCGTCTCCTGCCCTGAAAGCTCAGGCTCAAGCTTTCCAGCAGTAGTGGCAGTTTATCAATATCGTAGCCACGTCTGTTTTCATTCTGTTTAACAGAATGATATAGTGGGATGATATGCTGCCGGTTTAGGCAGGAGGTTTCACAGAGAAATAAACTTTTTTTTTTTTTCTGTTCAGGTGTAAGACTTTTGTTGAATGGTCTTTGCACCAACACCACCGTCAAATCTTTGGATCTGAAGGTGAGTCGTTTGAAAAGAATTAACAGTGTTCTATGGTGGAGAAGGAAAAAGCACAGGCTTAATGAGAAAGAGAACTGGACAGTCCTGGTGCAGGATTGTTCTACAAGATGCATACTTCTGTAAGTTTTTTGTTCTCAAGTGACTAATTTCTTGACTCGTTAACACTGCGTCACAATTTTCCAAAGTTACTTTGCAGATTGTCTTTATCCACTTTTATTCAGTTACTCTATTTTGATAAGAAGCTATTGCTAGGTACCTTTTGTCAGTTGCTGCTTGGGCAGATGAGGCATATGTAGGCTTTTTTGGGGATTTCTGTATTGATCAGTGAATTACTAGCTGTTCTACTTGTGTTTCTGTCTTTTGACCAGTGTGTGCTTTGAACTAAGCATCTGCCTTCAGATGTGATTGTCTCTCTACTGAGAGTGACTTTCTGTCTGTATTCCTCTGGCATACAGCTATTTCACAGTCACAAACTGCATCATAACTTTCTCACTCATTTGTGCTAGTGTTAACAGTCCTTCCTAACGAAGTGTGTTAAAATAGTTATATTTATCTGGAATCGCCATGTTCTCTCCCATTGTGGTCCATGCTGATCCTGCTATTTTGTGATTTTTGCAAGCTCTCAGTCATGGTGGCCTCATAAGACCAGTGGGGTGTATGGATCCACTGTTCCTCCAGGGTTTTCCATTTTGATACATGAAACAAATGTTGGTTGGACCATTTTTGCCCAGCTGAAATTGGCATTACAGCTGGGATGTGTCTGGTGGTGGTCGTGGTCTAGGTGGACTGGGACAGGCTTAGCCTACTGATCACCTGGGGCTTCTCTTCCAGGGAAATAACCTGCGAACCATGGGAGCTGAGGCTTTGGGAAAACTTCTTAAGCAGAACAAATCCATCAGGAGGTAAACAAATGTATCTACCTCTCTTTGTGCTATTTCTGCCTGATGGAGCACAACATTTGAAAAGGGTTGGGGGTGTTTTTTGTTGGGGTGGGAGGAATGCCAAGTGGTGCAATTTCTTGTGAGGGGTGGGGCAGGCAAAGGCACGAAAACTGTAGGTGCTGTTTTCATGGGCTCTGGCAGCATTCTGCTCTCTGAAGTTGAGTCAGCTCACAGAGCTGGGTGATGACCATGTATCATTCAAGTTCACACAGCTGTCCACTGACCCCACAAACCCCAATCCTGTCTGATTTCCCTAGCCTGACCTTAGAATGGAACAGCCTCGGCATGTGGGAGGAGGGCTTCTCCTTTTTCTGCCAAGGACTGAGAGCAAACAACTTTCTTCAGCGTCTGGATCTGCGCAATAACCAGATTAACCATCAAGGGGCTGGAGAGCTGGCCATGGCACTGACACAAAACACCAGCCTTCAGGAGCTGGGTAAGAGTTCTTTGCCCCTGTATACATATATGCATGCAAACACACCTGCATCTTCGGGTTTCTTACCTCAATTTCTTCTAGCTGGTCGGTGTCATTCCCAATTCCTGTCAGTCTAGAGTGCTGTGCTGGCTTTGTGCAGGGAGTGGTTACAGCCCCATGGCCTCTGGAAAGTGGAAACAAACTGGAATCTCTAGAACCAAACCTACAGATGAAAAACTTGTACTTGGGGCAGAACAGTCTTTAGTGGAGGAAGAAGTGTTTTCATTCCTATTTGTGGCATGCCTCATGACAGACTCTTGATACTTCCTTCACACTGGCTTTGTCCTTATATGGAATTTTGCTGGAATTTCAGGAGAATGTGGCTTTTTGTCACTGATTCTTTTTCGTCCACAGATTCTGTCTGTGGAAGGAAGGCTCGTGAGAGCCAAATGTGAGATGCAGACTTTTAACTGTCATAGCTTCCTGCAGTTTACTAAAGATTTATCTTTGCCTTTCCTGCTTTGTCACTTTCTCTCCCTCTCATTCATCTCGAAAGGGGCTGCAGTATTCTCCTGTGTGTGTGCTAGGACTATCTGGGATCTCAGCAGAAATGTGACTGCCATGGTGAAAGTTTGCTTTCTGTGTAGATTTGCGATGGAATAACATTGGGCTTCTGGGTGGCCGAGCTTTGCTGAACTGCTTGCATAGCAACAGGACCCTGAAGAGGCTGGAGCTGGCAGGGAACAATGTTCCTGGTGACATCCTGAAAGCTGTGGGTAAGTGTGATGTGTGTACAGTGATGAATCACTTGACTCCTTTCCCAGTCCAGCATGTGGGGGATATAGGGCACTTGCTGCTCCAGAAGAGAGCTAACCCTCTTTCCCTCCCTTTCTCAATAGCATTTCCACAGTGCCCTATGTCATCCCCTCTTGTCCTTTAGTGAGGGCTAATCAAGTTGGAAGTGTCACTTTCACCAGCAAAAGAAAAAAAAAAATTTGGATTGAGTTATTAGAGATTGATGTGCCATGTGAATGTGGGAGAACCTGAGACTTTTGCTCATAGTTTGCTTCTGATGAGCCAAGTTTTGATGTGGCTTACACAGCACATCCTGTGTCATTGTCCTGCCCACAGCACAGTTAACAGCTTTCCTGAGGCTGGGGTGTTGATTACCCCACACACACTTCTCTCTTTGATCCCATCCCACCTGGTGATGTAAGGTGGGACTCTCTCTACATGGGCCAGACTGAGAAGGGCAACTGTCCTGGTGCTTCTGATGCTCAATGGTCATCCTGAGTGCTGTTCTTCCAACAGTGCTTGCTATTCTGTTGCTTTAGAAACTTGAGTGTGTTCTCCTGCTCTCTCTGTATCAGAACACGCCTTGGATCACAACCAAGACCGTGAGGCTATCCTGAGTGAGGCCCAGAACCAAGTGAGCATCCTCAGCAAGGAGGTTTTGAGTCTGAAGGATGAGAAGAACAAGCAGGTCAGCAGATGTTGGCAGTTCAAATGGGGTAACTGGAATCCTTTGCTTTTCCTTGAGGTCCCCACAGAGCACACAGTGACAGTATTATTGTGCACCTGAAGTTGCACGTGCATTTCTATGGGCAGGCACACAGCATGATTGAGTTCATTGAGTCCATCCTCTGAGCTGGTTTATTCAAGGGACAGTATGAGTATGGACACATCCCTGCTGACCATATTCACTCTGGGTTCTGGAGGAGTTTTAGTTATTTGTGCTTTCATTTCTTCTTCTGCAATTGGTTTGATATTTTCCAGGTGGTGTAAACCTAGAGATCTGTTTTTCCATCTGACACCTCACGTTGCAGAGTCCCTTTAGGTGATGACCTTATTCAAATGTGCTAATAAACCAATCAGACTTCCAGTTTGCTTCCAGTAGAGTGGCTTGACATGTCTTCAGCTGTTGCTGGGAAGAGAAAGATGAGAAATTTAAAGGTTTGTAGCTGATGAAGTTAATTTTCTTACTGAATTTTGTCTTGGTCACAGTTCATGGATTTTGTGGATACTGTAGACAAGCAGAAAGAAGAAAGAGCCAGGAGTGAGAAGTGAGTTAGATTCTAAATGTTTTCTGCTCTTTGATGGCAGAATTGAGCACTCTCCATTTCCTGGCAGAAATTACCCACCTTTTTTTCTTTTCTTCCTTTTTTTTCCTCTCAAATGCAGAATGTCTGCAGTACGAGTCAGCCAGCTGCAGGAAGCATTGGATGAGCAGTACTCCATTATGAATTCACTGAAAACCAAGTATGGAGGAGGAAAACCTTTGTCTTCCCACTGTTTGTGCTGTATGAGCAGTGCTGAGCAGACCTTCTAGGAAGGGGGATAATCTTGTAGGGTAGCTGGATTACTATTTTGGTTAGTTCTGCAGTAATATCCAGAAATTACAGTCTGATCAAGCCTTTGAGTTTGCCACACTAGATACTTAGCCTGCTTTTAAGTAAAATTACAGTGCATTGGTGTAAGAGCAAGTGAATTACAGAAGGTGGGAAGAAAGAAAAAGGATTGTGCAGATGGGATGGGGACATGTTTCTTGCATGGTTTACAGCCTGGCAGGAATCTCTGCCTGCTTCCCCCAGCAGCTGACAGTGTTCTCTGGGAACCATTACAGGTATGAAGGAACCAGGCTTGGGAACATTGGGGAAGAGGTGCTCCAAAGAAGTGTTAGATCACGCAGAGCCACATGCACATGGCTGTGGTTTCACTTCAAATACTGCTGAGCCTGCCTAGTTTAGTTCTGCCAGGTAAAGGCAGTGTTTTATGCCATGCAGTGATGTGGACATGTCCCTCTTGGACAGAACAAGCAAATTGCTTCTGCTACTCA